CTCTCCTACCTGCCAGTATCTCAGGGCCCAGCACAGAATCCAATTCATTTGTGAATCTTGGAGACAATTCTTAAGCAGAGCTGAGGCAAGTGACTCGGGATTCCTCAGGGGTGGGTGTCCAGGACCAAATCTTTGGTTAATATTCCTCCCTGCTTTGCTCTCCAAGCTAAGGCATTATTATAGACTTCTAACACCTTCAAGTCCTCAACTATGGAGAAGAAAGCACTAGACCAGAAGCTTCTGAGAGGCAGCTTATAAGCCCTGCTATCCCCTCCATAATACCCTTCCCCTGACATGGGCTCTGGCTATTCTCTATAAGCTATGTGTGGCTATGAGAGAGAGCAGAGCACAGTAAAAATTGGGGAAGATGTTATCATAGGGAAAAATGCTTGGTCTCCAGAAGGTTTGAGGATAAGTTGGTTTCTATGCATTAGGCTTATGGCAGAGTCCATGATGCTGGCTAGAGGTGATCTCAGTGTCAAGAAAGATTCCTTCTGGAAGTCTCCAGTTTTCTTTTACCCAACACATTACAAGGTAGAGCTACATGAAGAGAATCCCTTCCTAGGCACTTCCCACCATTCCTTTCTCACTGGACCTCCAGAAGACGTGCTACTTACACCACTGCTCTTTGTCCCGAGTCACAGATGGCCTTGCCTTCACTCTAAGTGGGTTCAAATGCAGGTGTCAGTTTTCCTAGCAGAGACAACACTGCCACTGCCACTGACAGATTCTCCACACACAGCAGACTCTCCATAAATATGTGCTGAACTGTTGAAGCATCTCAGTCCTACTTGTCCGTCTTAAGAAACTAACATGCTCTTGTATCTAAGCAGTTTATTATCCAGATTTAAATAACAACTACTTAGCCAGGGTCTAAGCAGTAAACATATATCTTTCAATGTCCTTCCAGCTTATCGCATGGTGCTTAATTTAGACTGGGAGTATTTACACTGTAACATCAAAAACGTATACAGAGCATGGCTATAGCTTTAATTCTACTTCATTTTGCAGAGTTGCTAGAGCAATCAGCTGCACAAGGTGTCTGCTTCTTATAAATGAGAGTAGGAAATTTTTCTCCAATTATGTTTTAATTCATGGGCAATTATTCTCTATAGCAGGTGACAAGTTTAGGGGAGCATGAAGTCAGGGAGATGAAGTATTAAGTAATTTTAATCTGAATTTTTACAAATGAGTATTATAGGGGTGGCAGAGACAAAATGTGTCTGTTAACTGAAGCCAGGTGAACAAAAGGCAAAATGGTAGCATCATATGCCTCTAGAACCGTCTTCTCAGCCACCTGTAATGCAGTCTAAAACAGACAGTTTCTCGCTTGAATGCTCTGACCACCTGGGTCTATTCCTCATTTTATCAAGAGGCCCTCTTCCCACATTTTGCGTATAGATCCTGAACATGACCTTGAGATTATTCCAAAACTGCAGTGTCATTTGGGAGTTGACCCACACCACAAAAACACATTCCTCTGCATAATATGCCATTTTCTGCTATTTCAAACACCCAATACCCAGGGAAATTTCCTTCTTAATCTGTTTGCTAAACATTTACTAAGTATATTTTGTAAATGACACTTTAAAATACAGAAATTAATAAGACAAGCCTTTATCCTTGAGAAACTTCTAATCTAATAGGAAAGACATTCACATAAGCCAAATTTTTACCCAAAAGGCAGCCCACGCTGGTCCTCCCTATCTTCCACACATCTCAGGAATGGACACATAGTCTTCCCAGTTGTTTAAATCCAAAACCTGGGAATCACTCTTGATTCCAAGTTACTCCATCTCTATGGCCACCACCCAGATCCAAGCCACTATCCCCTTTCCTTAGACTAAGGAAATAGCTTTCTAAATGGTTTCTTAGGGGCAGCCGAGTGGCTCAGTTGGTTAAGAGTTTGCTCAAGAGTGCGAGCTCTGAGCAACAGGGTCACCAGTTCGATTCCTGGCTCTAGCTGAGCTGCCGCTGATGAGCTGTCAACAGGTGGCAGGATGGCTCAGCTATTAAAAAAAAAAAAAAGGTTTCTTGCTGCTATGCTCCTTTCTCCCAATGACAGACATACATCCTACTTATAGTACACACATCTTCAGGTCACTCTCCTTCTTAAAACCCTCTAACGGTTCCCTAGCACTTAGAAAAGCGTCAACTCCTTCGATGGCCTACCAGGCCCTACATTAGCTGGCCCTTGACTCACCTCCTACCGCTCTTTTCCTACCACAGTCTCTCTACTCAGACCCTCTTTCTGCTTCTCGTTTTTAAGCCCTTGTTTTGTCCTCTGCCTGAAATACTCTCCTCTCTCCCTCTTTCTGCTGCAGGAGTGTCACCTCTCTCCACTCAAGTCTTAGATTAAACATCCCCTCCTCAGGAAGCCTTCCCTGATCACTCCAACAAATACTGCCCCAAGACTGTCTTATTTTATGTTAATTTCATTTTCTCTTTCTGCATTTATTTGTAAATTGCCTGTGACTGCTGCTCTCCCACAGCGCGCTATAAACTGACTTCATTGGTGGTGTTGGCAACTGTGCCACTGCTAGGACCTGCCTGCTTCGCAGGAGGGGCTCAGAACGGACTTGTTGAGAGATGAGTGTTCATTACAAAGAACAAAATAAAGATGACTAAATGTATCAATGCACCATAAGGAAGGGACACTTAGTTTTCATCAGGAGGAGAAAAGCTGGAAACAGCTTTCAGAAGAGAGATCTTATGTGTTATAGGACAAGGGAGTGCATCTTTAAAAGCACCCCAGGATCTGAAACTAGAAAGGAAGAACCCCAAAGGCACGGCTAGTCCAGGGGAATCTAAGCAATGAGCATGGTACCCAACATGGCTGGTGCTCAGATGCATGAAGGGATGCGCTGAGAAGAGCATAGTGAAGAGTCGAGTGACACACTAAGGGGGTGGAGTTTTATTTGTTAGACCATGGAAAGTAACTGAAAAGGGTTTGAGGATTAAAATTAGTACACTCTGACCTATATTTTATAAACACTGAGAAAAATTGTTTTAACTTAAAAACTAGCAAAGAACAAAAAATGGTATCACTTTTAAGAGGACCACATATTCTACTGTATTGGGAATAAAGAAGGATTTAGATCCATTTATAATCAAGAGAAAGAGGGGCTCACAGTTGGTGACCCTCTATCTCAGGGAATAGGCCGACTGCAGAACAATTTTTGACTTTCAAAGGCACTAAACAGCTATATAACATTTCCAAATGGTTTCAAAGTAGAAGGTACCACCATCAAGGATAATAAAGCTGGTGCCTGGGTTCCAGAATTGGAACTCAGTTCCAGGCCAGAAGACGACTCCAAGCAAGCACTGTTCATATCCCAGAACACCTGAATTAGTCCAACAATATTGAACAGATGGGTCACACTATGTAAACTGAAATTCACCCTACAGACCTGCATATTACATTAAAGTTAAACAAAGTGAGCATATGAATGATTCAACCTAGTCATGATAAAAAGAGGTTGCTAAAATTACTGTGAGGAATTAAAGACCTACAACGAAACATGCCTTCCGAAGTAATGGTAATCCATTGCTCTGAGGGGCTTTTACCAATATGCCTTATTTCAAGATTTATTTAATGAGCACAACTCTCCTCAATAACCACATAATAGATGGAAGGGCTGACTGGTACAAACAAAGGCTGACACAAGGGAGTCAACCGCTTGCTTATACTTCCAGAAGTTCTGGAGGGAGGGAGAGACCCAGGAGCCTTTAGCAGCCCTAGTGTTGCGCTATCTGGCTTTTTACATTTTTTTTTAAAACTCAAGCAAGGTGTAACATCTGGGCTTCAGCTAACCTATAAAAGAAAAAATCCAGAAAGATGATCAAAGGTCCCTGCCAATTTTAAACTCCTATGATATAACTACAAAGAAATTCCTTTGAGGCATGTCTGCTTTCCATGAACCAGAGAGAGTACTGACTTGCGCTGAAGGAGGGAATGCCATTGGGCCAGTGTTTATGAGAAATGCTGAGCCGGGCGCCACGGGCAATGGAACTGGCTCCAGGTCTGAATAAGCCCCCAACTGGAGAAAGGCAGGTGGTAACATGGTCAGAGTACAGGCTGGAAATCAGAGACCTGGACTTATACCACAACTCTAGCTACAAAACCATGGGCGAGCAAACCTACATAAATTCTATGTGAAATGGGGATAGAGTCATCGTGAGAATTAAGAGAGACAGTGGATACAAGGTGCTTAGCACAGTGCCTAGCATACAGTCGCTACTGAATAATGACAATTCTAGAAGATGTTGTCAGTTTTATTTCACTTATTTAGCTATTAGATTTACCTCCATTGGTTTACATGACATTCTCCTCATAGGAAGGATATCTTATGGAACCTCACAAAACTAGAAACGATCCCCAAAATCCTTTCATCTAGTTCCCTGTGTTTAGACATTTGCACTATTACCACCATTTCACTGATGAAACCACAAAGGACCTGAGTAGTTAAGCTGATTGCCTGAGGTGATCTGGTGATGAAGTCCATTTAAAACTCTATCATTTGAGTCCTCAGGGAATCCCCAGGGCTTGGAAGTTGTCAACATAATTTTCTGGACTATTCTGTGCTCTAAGAATCAAAGTTGTCTCTGTTATTACAATAAATTTATAAAATGAGATGAAAGTGCCTCAGCCAAAGAGAGATCGTGCACTGAGTAATCAAAGTGCCAACTCTAAAATATTAGACAGTTATGAAAATGATAATGAAGCCTGTAACAACCCTCACTAATGCTTATTATGCTGTTTAGCAAAATCAAAAAAAAATTCAGAATATGTAATCTCATTTATGTTGTGATTATAACTAAGTAAAATTGTGTACATATATAGCAAGGGCTGGAAAGGAACTTGGAAAATGGCTATGGCTGATTTGATAAGGAGGCATGATTGCGTAAGTTTTATTTTTAGCTAGTGACTTTAATGGAGCTGACACAATAGACACCACCACAGTGATAATCACAGGAAAAAGATACTGCTGTTCACTCACCCGGGGTTGTATAACATGACTGTGGAGAGGTTCTCACAGGACTTCGAGAGGTCAGTCATGGACAAGCTGAAGGAGGATAGAAGGCCACTCTAAGAGCAGACACAGGGCAGAGTGGTTACCTTAGCAGATAGAGGCCAGTGCTCTGGACTGAATGCTTTCAACTTGAGAAGCAATGAAATGCATACACTTTTCGATAGCATGCATACCAGCTGGTCTATCTGAGGATGGCACATCAGGGACAGTCTCAACCCAAACCCTCAGCTAAGCTGAGCAGGGCCCTAGCATGCTTAGACTGGGAAAACCAACCAGGAACTCCACACCCTGATGGTCTCCCCAACCATGCTGCATCAAAGTGGAAGGGAGGGCATGATCTCTTTACCATCCTCATTCCCTGGCAGGAGCACTGTCCCGTTATCAGCACCACTCAAGTACACTTCTTGAGTGATACAGACAGAGGGGGGACAGGTGAAGAGAGACCAAAAAATAAGGGCTTGACCTGCTTTGCTTCCATGGAAAGCTATTGGCAACATATTTTCTGCAACTATTGACCAAAATGGATCCTCCAGGAAGACCCTGGACTGGAACAGATAAGAGGCTTCAATGGTAGAACTAGCAGCCTGGACGAGGCTGAGGTTTGCAGCTTTCTCGTTATTTCCCATCTACAGCACTGGCAACCATGGGCAGCCCTTATGAAACTAGGCTGAGATGTGGGGCTGTGCAACTCTGGTGAAGGGCAAACACTTCCGGGTCGGCTGGTCAGGGCTGCAGCCCCGACTCTCCACTTGCTGTCTCAGGAACAAGTTTGTCTGTTTCTCACCTTTATCATCTGTGACATGAGGGTAGTAGCAGCTGCTGCACAGATAAAGCAGTAGAACATATGTGGAAGTTTTGTCCAGTGCCTCGCTCAAAAAAATGTTAGCTGTAGTCTTTATTATCTTCCTAAGTCTAAGGACAGCACAACGTCCCTAGGCAGATCTCGCTCCATCTCATTTCTTCCCCTTCTCTCTGGTCCTCTGCCCATCTTCCTCATCCAGCATTTAAAGTGCCCTCAGGATAGCCCCATCCAACCAAGATGAAGTCTCTCCCCATTGTCCTAAACTCACGCTCTGCTTCACACCCCAATCAAAAGCCCTATTTGATAGGGCTCAAAATAAAAAGTGAGCAAACTTTTGGATGAAAGTATTTTGACATCGGGCTAACTCCTAAACAGATGCTCATAAGTGGAAGCCACTCTCTACTTAATGCACGATGGTGCCCAATTCCTTTGTAGGGGTGGATGGTTGAAGAGAAGGATCTAGAAGGAGCCATTTCTCCTGCTCTAGACTTTACTTGCTAACCCTCCTACTTCATCAGCCAATCATCTGCTGGAAAACAAACTCCCTAGAATCAATCCAGGCTTCAGAATGACTTTTCTTTTTTTTTTTTTTTTTTTTTTTTTTTTTTTTTTTNGCGGCTGCTCAGCTCGGGCTGACCCGAACCACTGTTGCTCAGAGCTCAAACTCTTGAGCGAGCTCTTAACCAACTGAGCCACTCAGCCGGCCCCAGAATGACTTTTCTGGTGCTGTACTCCAGAAAATCAAGCTTCTAGAACCAGAGTGGAGATCCCCCAGCCCCAGCCCCAGCCCCAGCCAGATCAGAGTTGGCTCCTGGAGATTTCATGCAACTCACCTTCCTCTTCTCCCTGAGCTTGGCAGCCTCCTTTGGATGGTTAAAACGAAACATATTGGTTCTGCCCAAGAGGATCACAGCACCTGAGAGCACACAAAAACAGCAATGAGTTTACAGTCAGCAACCTAGTCAATTGGTAACATCAGAACATGGAATTTTATAGTTCAAATGCAATTTTCAGCGCACTATAAAACAATAAATATAAGGGGAATAGTCTCAAAAGTCTGCTTACATAAGCCACTTTTAAATCTGCAAATACTTTTATTTTTACAGCCAAACATTGCAAGACAAATATTACCCAAGACAAAGGTAATAGATCCAAGTATTAGAATATACATATTATGATATCTAAAACTTAATATACAGATAATTATACTTTTTATTATTGAGAGAAAAAAGAGGAAATCAGTTCTTCAAAGAGACGCTGTAATACCAAGCGAAACATATGGTCACAAATTTAGGAAATGTTTATTAATGCTGGAAAATTAGAAACCTCAAAGGAAAGCGCTTTTAAAAGAAAACATGGGGAAATTGACAAAGTACAGGTAACTATTACTAAAATCTCCCTCAGAATTTGACAGGAAAGAAATTGTGTACATGTAATGTATATTTCCATGTAAAAACACTGCTTCTTGTTGAAACCCTGTTAAAAGAAAAACTCCATTTGATTGGCTAGGGTCCTGCTTATTCAGAAAATGACTGCATAAGGGGGAAAAGAATTTGATGTAAATGCCAAAGGTAACAAAATTTTTGGGGGGCAGGTGGCAAATTTCAGCTCGATTAAGCAAATAAGCAGGCAAACACTTTCTAAGGTCAGAGCTCTCCAAAGCTGGCAGAAGTGCCAAGAAAGGCAGTGAGCTCCTTGTCACTGGAGGCATCTAAGGGAAGCGATGTTGCAGAAGAGATTCACTATCTTATCTGGTCCCATCTACACCTGCGCGTCTACCACATCTCGGAATGGACCCCCATGTCCAATCTTTGCCCTGAAAAAGAATGCAATTTATTTGTGAAGACACACATACTAGAAGTCAACCATGAAGCATGCCACGTGATGAGCTGTGGAGCATCTAAGCGATGAGTGCAGGATGTAGTAGGTGGGGACAGACTTCTGCACTAAGCAAATAAGCTGGGGCAGGTAGAGAACAAGAGCGGTGCTCTAATTTGTGGTTACAGCAAGGGCTGAGCCTTAGACAGAACAGGCCTGCTCTGTCTGGAGAGGGGAAGGAGTCAAATCCACCCCGAATGCAGGACATCTGAAACAGTAGCAAAAATCAATACTGGATAGGTGACACGGAAACAGATTCTGAGGACCTGGAGAACCAGGATGAAGAATTTGCACCAAAGGTCACAAATGGGTGACCAGAGAAAAAAAATCAGCTCATAGATGTGTTCTGTGTGTCCTGTGCAACGCTTAAAAGCCAAAATTATTACTTGCCAACAGTTAAAAATCTGCAATTTTCACATGAAAGTCTGAGTCTCATTCTGGATTCCCCTGAAAAATTCAGAAGATATGGTACGAGTAGATCTATGTTGCCACTTGGCAAAAATCCCTGGGTTGCTGATGGCTGCCGTCTTTGGACAAGACACGTGGCACCTGGTTGACAATAGTCACCAACCTCCCACTTGGGTATTATGTCCACCTGGGCCCTGCAGGTAATATCACAACCTCAGACAGCTGTTCTGGAGTTTCACACCTGTTATCTACCTGCCAATTCAACAAGTTGTCTCAGGTTCTCAAGAAGTTTCAGACTCAACATGGTTAAAACCTAATACATTTAGATCCTAACCAAGGGACAACCAAAGGGTTGATTCTGGTTGGGGTTATTATTTAGTGGAAATGGAGTCAGTCTGAAAAGGAGAACACAGTTTGAGGAGACTCAGAGGGGCAGCAGTGGATATTATCCACTCTGCAATCTGCTTATCCCCCTCATATAAAATTGCACTCATATATTTTCCAATTATGGAAAGGCACCATTACCATAATTAAGAATGGTGTTTCCCATGCCTTTTATGACTAGGACTCAGAACTATGTGCCACACAAAAAGTCAAAAGTTAAGCAGCCATGTCTAAGATATATGTATATTTAATGCTCTTAAAGTGACATTAGAGATTAATAAGGCAATCGCATTTGAGGAGTTAATTACATCTAATCCAATTCTTTTTTTTTTCCTGTTAATCAAATGCTCAGCCATGCAAGTTGAAAATTGCTAAAATATGTTAATGGAAAAATAGAATAGCATTTCAAAGACATATTTCATATCATATTAAATCACTGAAAATAATCCTGCCACCCATCTATTTGCATGAAATACATATAAAAATCCCTTTAAAGAGTTATAAAAGAAAACAAAACTACCCATGGCCATTCCTGTTTCCATCTAAATAATGTGTGTAAATTACTGGCACATAAAGAGGGCTCTGGTAAGGCTAGTTTCCTTCTATTTCCTCTACTGTATTCCTTTACTCAACAAACCTACTGACTAAAAGTTTGCTTCAATTTTACATGCTGCTGCTGTTCATTCGACAAATACTTAATGAACACTTACCATGTGCTAGTCGCTGTAAGGAGCACTGGGGATACAGAGTTGATCAAGTCAGATTTACCCCTTGCTCTTATGGAGCTTATAAACAAGTAGGAGAAAGAAGCAAACAACCAAATAATTCCACAAATAAATGCAAAGCTGCAAGTGAAGACGAGATATCCCTCCCTGTATTGAAAGAGCACAGAAGAAGGGGGTTGACTGCAGGAGAGGTTAGGAAAGGATGCCCTTGGGGAGGTGGTGCTTAAGACAAGCTCTGAGGATTGGGGGGTAGGGGAAGTAGCATATGTAAAGGTCCTTTAGCAAGAAAAGACGATGATGATGACGAGTGACTGAAGATAGCTGCGCGTCTATAGCAGAGGGAACAAGGAGAGCATTGTACAGATGAGGCTTGACCGAGAGGGAGCAGACCACAGACAATCTTGCAGGATATAGTAAAGCATCTTGTATTTCATAGAGATGCAATAGGAAGACACTAAAGGGCTCTGTGCGGAACATTACATGGTTAGATGGGAGTTGCAAAAAGTTGTTCTTTCCACTATTTGAAGAATGAACCAAAGAGGACACGGGTAGATGTGGATAAACAAGGTAGGAGGCTACTATACTGGTCCAGGTCAAAGATGATGGTGGCTCAGAATTGGGGAGGAGGGGTAGACAAAGAGGTAAATTAACAAATCAGGAAGATATTTAGGAGATAATATCAATAGGACTCAATGATGGGCTAGATATACGAACAAGAGAGGTGAGGAAGATGTCTCCCTGGGTTTGGCCTGCAATAATTAGTTGGGTGAGGAGTTGTTCACACAGATGAAGAACACTAGAAAAAGACGAAGATTGGGTTAGAGGAGAAATCATGAGTTTGGTTTTAGACATAATGAATTTGTGTATCTTTGGCAGGCAGAAACATGCATCTGAAGCTCTTAAAAAAAAAAGCCTAGGATATCTATCAAGCTGTCTATCTACCATCTTACCTACCTACCTACTTACTCTCAAATATATATATATAACATATATAACATATATAACATATATACGTTACATATATTATATATCACATATATATAATATATATTATATCACATACTACACATATGTGTACATATCTAATACATGTGTGTACATATATACATATACATACAATATATATACACATATATCTACAGATATTAGGATATATGTGTGTGTGTGTGTGTGTATCTACAGATATTAGCGTATGTGTGTGTGTGCGCGCGCGCACGTGCTCACAGGTCTACATCACTCTCTCTATATATATTTGAGATCTAGAAGGAACTCAAATCTGAGATCTAATAAACGAAGCCATGTGTGTGGGGAAGTCACCTGAAGAGAGAATGGAGAGGTTGAAGAGACTGAGCACCTTGAGGAATGCTGGCTTTTAATGGCCAACTAGAGAATGAACCTGCAAAGAAAACAGAGAAGGGGCTGGCCATCAGAGAGAAAAGGAAAACCTCAGAAGCCACGTGAAGAAGTGGTCAAGGATGTAGAATGCTCCATAAAGATCAGCCAAGATGAAAAAACTGGAAAACGCCATTGGGTGTGGTAGCATGGAGGTCACAACCGGTCTCAGCGATCAGCGAGAGCTGTTTTGACAATGGTCAGAAACCAAACTAGACGGGCTGAGGAGTGAGTGAGAGAGCTGAGGAGCTCCTGAATCCAGCCAACTCATTCAAGAAGTTCTGTGTATGAAGAGAAAGACAGAATTGGTAATAGCTGGAGGGGGGTGATGGGCCCCATGGGGTAGTTTGTTTTTGCTAAAAGGAGACTCATGAGTATATATTAAAAAGCAATAAGCGAACTGAAGAAAAAAAAATAATAAATGAATGAATGAGAATGACTGATGGTGTAAGGTTTCTGGGTGAGACCCGGAACCTGTGTGCTGCCTGGAACCCTTGGGGTGGCCAAGGGCCAGTGACTGCTTAACCTCTCCAGAACTCAGTCTCCTCATCTAGTCACCAAACTGGATACTTTCTAAGGTTCCTTCTAGATCTTAAATTCTCTTTAACTATGAACTACTCCTTGATCTGAGGTTAATGTAATTAATCACAGCAGATGAACTTTTTGTGATGCACTTAATTTGTAACTTTCAGAGTATGTCTAAACCTTCTTGAAATATATGACGGCTTCTTTGAGATTACTTCAGGGCCTGTTAAATACTTAAAGATATAGAAATTCCAGATGGTCTTTAAAGGGGATGGAGGGGAAATGACATTGTAAAAGGGTAGACAAAGACACTTGTTAACAACAACAAAAGCCTCATTTAAATCTCTACATGAAACCACTGAAGCTGGTTTCACAGGATATTTTCTATTTTGATATTCCAAGTACACAGAAAAATATTAAACATGTAAACATTTCCAGTGATTTTTAAGGAGTACAATAATAACCATTAATGTCACTATTAATTACTTTTTTCAAATTTTATGTGAGATTTTCTAATTCTGCTAACTACACAAATAAAGCAACTTTTTTTTCTACTAAATGTCATACAAATGTTTTTGAGGTGATGATGTATGAATCATTTCAT